GCTGAGGCAGAGGTGGATGTGAGCAGTAGTAATATTGGAATTGTTGGGATGGCAACAACAACAAGAGCGGAAATGACGAGGACTGTAGGGCGGGCAGCTGGAATGGAGACGACCCCGTCAACCTCTGGGACTAGCAAGGGGCAGCGGACTAGGGCTGAGGATATGGCAGAGATCGTTAAGCGGCTGGAGAGGTTGGAGGCTGAGGTGGCGTCCAAAACACAGACTAGAGGGTGACGGTAGAAATGCATTTACCAACGTTGATGATACCTTTGAGTGTTGTTCGTATATTACGTAACGTGGTGGTGGATGGTGCAGTGTTAGTATGGTGGTCATGCTGGAGGGCAGTGGCGTTAGTTTATGGAGAGATGGGAGAGTGAGAGCCTTTTGGGGGTAGGAGGCAGCCCTCCACCCCCGGCCCTATCGATAAAGAGGAGGGTAAGGAGGACGAGGGGGCAAGGTGAGGATAGGGGGTGGACTCTGGGGATCATCTAGGAACCTATAATGCTACCGGGGGGAACTCACTTGGATAGGAGCACATTCTTGGAACAGTTTCCCATGAGAATGTCGACATTTCCCGATTGTTATCAAACCCTGGGGACTGTGCTATCTCTCAAAGCTGGATGGGCCCCTGTGTGGACTTGTCCTATCCTAAGGGGCGTGGTTGGTGTCGTGTCAGATCCGCGGAGAGCCCCTGTGAGTGATGGGATGGTCAGAGAGGGCCGACTGAAACTGCAGTCTCTAGAGAGGTCGGGCTCATCTACCCTACAGCTGGTTCGTATAGCAAAGGAGGATAGGGAGCTGAAGGAGGTGAGTGAAGGAGCTCCACGTATTTGATTATCTCTAATTTATCGATGTGACTGTAGCGGGTGTCGTGAGTGGAGGCTTATACTGTGGGGAGATATGTACATGGTCGGCTATGTGTGTTGGTGAAGATATGAAAAATGTGAGAAAATTTCGGGAAACTTTTGTTGCTCTTTCTGTATCCGATTTTGTTGTATAGTAAATGTGGAGACTGCTTAGCTCAGCTGAGGGAAGCAAACATACATTCGTTCAACACTGTTGTTACACCAGGAGCTCGGCGAGACCAGGCAGCAAACAGCGTTGAGATTGGCACATTGTAGTGAGCGCGAGGAGAGGCTGAAGGCTCGTAGGGAGGACCTCAGAATACGAAAGGCGGCTAATGAGGACTTTTTGAAGTGAGAGGGGGGGAGGGGTAGGTTGGAGGGTGGCTGAGGGGTGGTAGTCAGGGTTGTTGATAGTAAGGTGGGGAAAGCTGAGAAGAAACGACAGGTAGAGGAGAGGGAGTGTCGTGGGTTGGATGGGGAGGTGAGGTCTTCTTGGAGGGCTCTGTGATGATTTGGCGAAGGTGTGGTAGATAATTGAGCTGAAAAAACGCGAAGCGGAGCTGATCGAGATGAAGAGAATGGTGGAGGAGGAGGTAGATGATGGTTGCCATCTCGGGTAGTGCTCGTGATAGGTCCGACGTTGCTCGCCTTATCGGGAGTATTTAGAGAGGGTGGTGGCCTTCCAACAGCGGAGGGTGTCGCT